TACCTCCCGCCACAATCTATTCCAATCCCACCCGGACCCCTCCCCCACCTCCCCCACCTCCCCGTTCCCCTCCCTCCCCTCCCGACCCCTCCCCCACCACCCCGTTCCCCTCCCTCCCCCCTCCCCCCCTCCCTCTCCTCCCCTCCCTCCCTCTCTCTCCGCTCCCCCCTCAACCACCCCCCTTCAGTTCCCGCGGGGTTCATGGCCACATTATCCAGTGCCGTACCTCCCCCCGCTGAGGCGCCCGTACTTGAGCCCGACCCGGCGGCGCTCAGGTGGTTCAAGAGCACCTACCCGGAGGCCATTTCGACCGGCAGGAGGGACGCACTGGCTGTGCGGTGAGGGTGTGTGTGTGCTGGGGAGGGAGGTGGAGGGGGGCTGAAGGGAGGGGTAGGAAGAGAGCAGATGGAAGTGGGAAGGGGCAAGGAGTGCAGCAGGGGCGGGTAATTAATCGCCGTGACGGGGTTGCCGCGTCTGTGTCCTCCCGCATGATCAGAGGACAGCCGGCAGCGGGGTTGTCACCCCAGCAGCGGGGGGGCTCCACCTCCATAGCCTCCGCAGAGGAAGGGTGTAGCCAACGGCGGCGGCAAGAGAGTTAACGCTTCTGCCGGCCTGGAGGGCTTTGGGAAACCCCACGCCTCAGGACCTTAGCCCCGGCCGCAACTGCGACTGCAAACCCACTGAGCGCGCTCCATCCGTTGTCCGTGACCACAACCCCCTCCGCTGTCGGCCTCCTGATGCCCTTCCCGCTCTTTCTTCATCATGGACCTGGTAGTGCCTGGTTGGACGAGCAGTTCCACGCACTTCGACGTCACGTGCTGGCGGCGCGGCCGCGCAGCGCCCCCGACGGACCGCCGTCACCTGCCGTACAAAAAACAGCCTCTAGCGGTGCCATGGCCGTTGGCGGAGGTGGAAGTCGCACCCACGACGGCACGGCGCCTTTGTCGCCGCGACCGCAAGCGTCGGTGCCGGCGCCAGCCGCCGCCGCCGCCGCTGCCTCCGCCTCTCCGGAGCGCCTACCTCGCCACAACACAACAACAATCGCTCCTGACCGACCAGCGGCGGCGGCTGGCGGCGGCGGCGGTAACGACGGCACCTACCCTCACCAAGGCCCCTTCTCGGCTCACCACAATCCCCATCACAGTCCCCATGCCGTCCAGAGCCACCCCCCCTACCACCCCTCCGGACAGCCGGTGCTGCTGCACCCCTACACCGCCAGCCAGAGCCCCGTGGCGCCCTTCACCGGTGCCGAGTCGCTGCTGCTGCTCCGAGACCCCGAGGGCTACCTGGACGGGGCGGTGGTGAAGCACCAAGAGATACTGCTCAGTCGCTGTGTGGAGGAGTTGGCGGGGCAGGTGTGCGCGTGTGTGTGGGGGGAAGGCGCCACAACGGGGGAGGGGGGCCAGGAAGAGGAGGAGGAAGAGGAGGGGAAGGGGGAAAGACGAACCACGTGAACGAGTGAAGCTGCTGGCAGGAGGAAAGAATGTACAAGAAGCAGGACTTACAAAAGCAGAGGGAGGGGAGGGAAAGACGAACCACACACGATTGAAGCTGCTGCCAGGGCAAGAGAGTAGGGAGGGGAGGGGAGGGGCTGAGGAGAGCGATATAAGCGGAAGCTCAAGAACGTGTGTGTGTGGGGGGGGGTGTAGGATGGGGAAAAAAGAAAGGGTCTAAGCAAGATAAGCAATAGCGGGAGCGGGAGCTGGAACGGGTGGGGTGGAGTGCTGGGAGGGGGGGCGTAAGGCTAATCACTAGCGAGTGAAGCAGATATAGCAGAAATAGACGGATATAGCTCCAGGAGGAGAAGACAAATGCTGCAAATCAGGAATATTTACTGACCAGCTGCGATGGGATGAAGGGGGGGGGGAAGGGCAATGGTGGCCGTTTCCTGAATTGAATTGAATACAACTTAGTCAAACTGCATGCTGCATTCTGCTCTCCCCCCCTTTTCTTCGGTTTTGTTCCCCCGCCACGTTAGGCCGCCACATTATGTGTGGAGCGGGGGTACCTCATGGCGCTGATCTGGGAGGCATTACGTCACGTGCTGTACGTGCTGCTGGCGGACCGTGACGCGGCGCGGAATACGGCACTGGCGGCCCGGCGCGCGGCGGCGCAGGCGGCGGCTGAGAAGGCTGATGCGCTGGCCCGTGCGGAGGCCGGCAAGGAGGAGATGCTCCACATGAACGACCTGCTCAATCGGCGGTTGCTGGCGTCGAAGATGGAGGTGGAGCATATGCGGGCAAGGCATTTGGATGTGAGTGTACGTGTGGTGTGTTTTATGTGGTGTGTTTTACTGAAAGCACAGTGCACGCGTGCATGACGGTAAGCACATACAGACAGACAGACAGACAGACAGACAGACAGACAGACAGACAGACACAGATTTCACTGGCCTCCAAAACCTGTTGTCTCCCCCCTCCCCACCTTTCCCCTCAAACACCCGTCGAGTAACTCCAACTGGTTTTGTATCTGCAATCTTCATATCTCGGGGTCTAACCTTACACGCCTGTGTTCATATTCCACCTTCCCTCCACTCCAAAACACACACACGCACGCGGGCAACCACATATACACACACGGTTATGATCCCCAGGTTGAAATGGAGCTGGCCCGGCTACGAGCTGCTCAGCCCGACGAGCTGAGGAAGGAGCTGGACGCGCTCAAAGTGCAGGTGCAAGGGGGGGGGAGGGGGGGAGGTGGATGGGGGAAGGGGGGGGAGGGGAAGGGGGGAGGGGGGAAGGGGGGGCGGAGGAGGAGGGATAGAGATGGGGTGGGCGGGGAGAGATGAGGACTGCAGCCATCCGACCACCAACCCACCCAGCACGGAGCTCGTATCGACCTAGGACAAATCCTAGCCCCGCCCTCTCAACCCCTCTCAACCCGGTTCCACACTTCCCCTCCGCCCCCATGCATGCAAAGTGTCCCTACCTCCCTACCCCCCCACCCCCTACCCCCCTCCCTACCTCCTGCCCCCTCTATGGGTATCACTCTCCCCTCCCCGGCCCCCCCCGTAGATGAGCATGTTGGAGCGACAGCTGGCGGGTACTCAAGCGCGACTGGAGAGCTGCCAATCCAGTTTAGCGGAAAGAGACAAGGAACTGGCGGCAGCGGTGGCGAGGTGTGTGTGTGTGTGTGAATGTGTGAATGTGAATGTGTGAAGTTGGACGCGGTCCGGAGGGAGCTGGGGGATTCACTGCCGTGCACTGTGGTCAAGAGCATTAACACAACTTGAACACACATGAGATTGACTAAGGAAAATAAGTAAATAAAAACTATTAGAAAGGTCAATGTTGGACATTACAGATTCCCTACCTCCCTGTAGCTGTGTGGCTGGTTGTCTGTCGGAGGTCACCCAGAGCCACCTCGCCCCCATCAGGCGAGGACGGGAAGGGATGTCAACTTCCCCACCCGGCGCCACAATAATGGCCATTGATTGACCATCCATGGTCCCCCCACCGGCTTTTACGGACGGCCCACACAAAAAAATGTGCGGAGCTTGTAATCCTCGCAACCCTTGTAACCTACAGAGTAAAGAGAGAGATTCATTTCATTTTTTTACTTCAGGTTTATCAACCAGGTAGTTTAGATTTCTAATCGTCACCGCCACCTTCCTCCAGCTTCCACCCCCCCACACACCCCCTCCCCCCCCCCCCCGGCCCCCCGCAGGGTCCAGGGCACTGCCGAGGAGCTCGCCACCATGCGAGAGGAGTTCGGGTCCCGCAGCCCGCGCCCCGCCCAGCCCCGCAACCCCCCCTGGGAGCTCATGGAGCTGGACGAGGCGGCCCTCACGCTGACGGGGCTCAGGGCGGGGGTGCCGGCGCAGGTAAGAGGGGGGAGAGGTGTGTGTGGGGGGGTGATGAGCGGGGTTGCGGTTGGGAGTTGCGGTTGGAGGTTGGGGGTTGGTGGGTTAAGAGGAAAGCCTCTTGCCTTTCCTCTGGATAAGTTTGAAACACTTCTTCCCCCCTTCATGTGCACGACCATTCTTCACCTCCCCGCTCCTCCCTTTCCAACCCCCCCCAAACCCCTCAAACCCCTTAAACCCCTTTCACCCTCCAGGATATGCACCGTTTGCTTCTCGGTGTATCCCCCACGGGCGGCAACGTGTTGCCTTGGTGCCACCTGCTGGGGGCGTGTCGCCACATCGACCCATCCGGCCCGCCGCCGAACAGCGGACTGGGCCCCGAAACCAGCTCCGTGAACCTGGGCTCGGGGCCGCTGGGCTCCCTGGCGCCGGAGGGGGTGGAGGGGGCCGCGGCGGACAACAGCAGCCCGCAGAGGGGCCGGCTCAAGTCGGCGAAGCCAGGTAGTTGGGGTAGTTGAGGTAGTTGGTTAGGACGAGGGGGGGTTAGGACGAAACAGCCTGGGATGGCTTTGAAACCCCATCCCGGCATTCTCCCAAATCCCACCCCGAATTCTAACCCCCGACCTATCGCTACCCCCCGACCTGCCGTACCTTATCCCGCCGTACCTCTCGGGCCACACAGCCCTTCATGGGTTCCCTGGAGCAGCCAACCACGGACCAGGACACGGACCGGACGGCGCCTCCGGGGACGTATCCGGCCCCAGCTCCAGGGTTAACACCGCCGTCGGCGCTCAGAGGCGGTTCACACGCGCCATGTCGCACCGCCACAATAACGCTGACGGGGGCGGCGCGCTGGCGGCGGGCGGCGCCGGCGGCGGCGCCAACGGTCCCAACGGAGCCAACCTGTCGCGTCGTACGGCATTGATGTCGGTGTTGCCGGTGGCTGGACTGCCGGACATTCGAGAGCAGCACCAGTGGTTGTACGGCTTGCTGACGAGGCCTGACGCGGCGACGGCGCTGTCGAAATGGTTATCGGAGGAGGCGGTTGAGGCGGTTGGTCAGATGGCGAACCACTCCATCGACCCGCACTCCATTGCCTGTCTGCTGCTCGGCACGTTCAGCATCGCCGGGCCGGACACCGTGCCGTACAAGTAAGTTTGTGTGCCGTACATCGTCGTGCAGACCCAGTATTTTCATGCAGTGTATTTCCCATCGTATACAATTTTACGTTTGTTCTACCGTTGTGTGTATATCGGTTCGAAAAGCGAACTCCTGCAGGAGCAGTCAGCTGGAACCCCCTTTCCCCCCCGCTCGGTTCCTTTCCCCCTCCTCACCCCCAACACATACACACATACACACACACATACATACATACATACTCGCACGTCTTCTGTGTCGCAGGTCCCTGGCCGGTATCCTGGCCACCCGCTTCCGCCACACCGCCGCGGATATCGGCGGCAGCATCACGGAGGCGCTCGAACTGGCGGCCATGAGCACACGGGACCGGGTGGAGCGGCTGCAGGACGTCAACAACACCCTGCGAAAGCAGGTGCGTGCCCGTATGTCTGTATGTATGTGTGTGGAGGGGGGAAAAGGGGGGCCCGTAGGTAGGTAGGTGTGTGGCAGTTGTTGGGGTGTCAGGAGGGGTGTGAAGAGGCAAAATGTACGACGGAAACGAAACATACAGGGGGCTGCCAAACCTCCTCCGGCCCAACTGAAACCGAATCCAAACCACCGAATTCTCTAACCACTTACCCCTCCCCCCCCCCCCCAACCTCCCCACCCCTTACCCCCCCCCCTAGGTCAACAAGTTGAAGCGCAACCTTAACGACCTGCGCAAGGTGGAGCGCGAAGGCCGCATGCACGACCTGCGCAGTGTGGCTCGTACAGTGCAGGGCCGCAAACCCTCCGTACTGCACGGCTTCGTACTGCAGAAGCGACCTGAATACTTCTCTGGGTTGGGGCTGGGCGAAGAGGTGCCGGGGGTGCTGCAGGCGGAAGGAAAGGTGCGTCTGTCTGTATGTGTGTATGTCGGGGGGAGATGTGTGTCTATTGGGGCGGGGGGACGCGGGGGTTAAGGGGAGGAGTGTTGGGGACACTGCAGCGAGTTGAGATGTTCGGGAGCTTGGAGCCCCAGGGGGATTAAGGATTTTAGCTTGTACGGCATTTGGGTCGTACACGCCCGGTAAGGCGGGAAAGGGGACCCAGGGAAGGCGCAAAGGCCCGGGGGGGGGGGGAAAGAGGGAGTTGACGTCTGAAACCCCCCAC